TACATATAGGAATGTTATTAACTCAAAATCATGATTTTTGACGTTTGGGTCGTTTCTATTGTCCATGCCCCATATATTAATATACCGAGGGAAAAAAAAAATTTTTTTAAGGGGGTAAGAATGTTGCACACAATTTTAGAATTTTCAATTGTATTCCAGAATGTTGATCATTACAGTATTTAGAAATTCCAAATTTGGAAAAAATCCTGACTGTAATATCTTTGATTCGTTCCTCATATGCTTTATAGTAACAATACCAGCATAAAATCTCCTTTTGTCTAGTCTTTATAGCAACATTAAATAAATCAACTATATTTTGTGTTGTAATTTTATTAGATCCTCTTATAATTGCTTCTAAAGATAATTTGGGAATCTGTATATCAAATACATTATGTGCCTTGGCACTAGCTCCACTATTAATTCCACTACTATCATTTTTGACGCAAACAGATAATTCATGCCTTAAACCTTGCTCTACTTTCTGGTTATAGGGAATTTTCTTTAGTTTCGCTATTTCGGAAGAAATATTATCTTGTACCTGATCAATGGTTATTTGCTCTGATTCAGCAAAAGTTTGAGATGAGTCTTCGACTCTGGGCTTTGCCCATTCTGATTGAATTGTTTTTCGATCATTGTTTATAGTAGATATGGTATCTTGGGAAATTTCAGTTGTAGAATTTATTTCAGAAGAAATGGTATGTTGAATCTTCTTTTCACTATTGTTCTCTCTCATTACATTACTAACCTTTCCTTTTTTTTCCAATCCAGAAAATCATCAACATCTTTATCTTCTGACGATTTAGACTTTGTCTGAATAGGTTGATATATTTCAGGACTTGATGCATCATATGTATCAGCTATCTGTTCAGAGATATTATTAGAATTAACTTCGGGAGAAATAGCACTTTGTATCTGCTCTAAATTTATGGACACAATGTTATCATTCTCACCAGAGTGGTCATTAATCGGTGGTGGAATGGGCATTTGTAAAGCATCATTAGCGGTTTGATTTTCCTTTATGATTTTTTTTGGTTTTGTATTTTCGATCCTAAGATTAGCAATTTCTTCTATAAGTGTTTTTAGCCTCAAGTCTGAAAACTCACTGCCTCAATAAATCAAGCTCCGACGACATGTTCAATAATAATTTTTTATATAAGGGATCAATTTATTCAAAATAAAAAATCACGTGCACGTTACAATTTGTAATGCCGATCACTTTTGCAAAAAAATGAAACCGTCCATTTATTATAGGTAATGTTAATATGTCTCACAAATCTAAAAATAACAGATGCAAAATTCAAGGTAGAAGAATGCGATCACAGTTGGCGCTCGATATAGTGAAGTTTTGGCTAGTACAAATTTGGAAACTATCTGTGTTAATATTCAATAAAATTCAATTTTTCTGAAGATAGTTTCCAAATTTGTACTAGCCAAAACTTCATTATATCGAGCGCTGGCTGCAGTTAATTTCTTTTCAATTTTTATTATGAAGTATATTCCCCATAATCTGTGAATCATTCGAATTGTTAAAATTACCACAAATTCATCATGCTTTACCACAACTGAATCTGGCACAACACATTTCATATTCTCCTGAGGTTTTAAAAAGGTACTCTTTTGTCTATGCTTCAATTTTTTCACAATATCTGAAGTATCATGAAGAACCATGCTTGCTACAGACTCTTTCCATGCAAGACTTGAAGGATGAATATTCTCAAGAGTTTGTTTGAGTGCCCCATAAAGACTTGTGTTCACCACTGTCACAGGGTGCTAAATATGCAACTTTGTTAGCTTTCGAAAAAAATACTTCAAACTATCTAATATTTACCTCAAGTAAAATTTTTAATTTGTTAATATTCTCTTCTATTTTATCTTGGCTATGATATAGAGGAATTTCACTCTCTACATTAAATCCTTTTAATGCTTTCAGACCTTGAACGCCAATATATCCACTTTCAATTTATGGAATTATATTAAATTTCACACATGTGTTTTCAGAAAAATTAAGATATCATTGTTTTAACTGGATAGTCATGCACAGTTAAAGAGGAGCAAAAGCCTTTATAGGGCCAACCTTTGGCTATGACATACCAAAACTAATAATCTGCGTTTTATCATAGAATTACCATTAAAAATATGAAATTAGGCAATAAATTATAATTAATACTAACTTGAGATAATATTTCCAAAATTTTTATTTTTCGTTCATTTTCTTCTATTTTTAATAAAGATGAATTCACTGTGTAATCTACAACTCTTACATTTCAAGAGGTAACAAAATGTCATTTTCTATTGTTAAGTAAACTCACTTTTGCAAAAAAATGAAACCGTCCATTTATTATAGGTAATGTTAATATGTCTCACAAATCTAAAAATAACAGATGCAAAATTCAAGGTAGAAGAATGCGATCACAGTTGGCGCTCGATATAGTGAAGTTTTGGCTAGTACAAATTTGGAAACTATCTGTGTTAATATTCAATAAAATTCAATTTTTCTGAAGATAGTTTCCAAATTTGTACTAGCCAAAACTTCACTATATCAAGCGCCGACTGTATTAGATTTAGTATTATAATGTAAATAATAAAAAAAGACTTTTCATTGTGCAAACTAAACAGATCAATTTTAGGATCAACACAGCAAGTGTATATTTTCAACGAAAGTCTCTTTAATTG